GTAACAGTTATACTGTTTATGGTCTTTGTCCTGAATAGTGATACCAACCTCATCAGCGATCATCTTCAGAGCTGCTTCGAAGTACCAATCATTAACTGTGAGACCATAGAACTTACATGGCATATTCTTCTTAATAACTTGATCTTACATGATTTCCACGAGCAAAGGTCTTCAATGGTCTTCACGAAGATCTTAGTAAACTCGACCAAAACGTTGTCTTCTCCATCATTATGTCTAAGTGCGTATTGAAGTTGAGGTCAACCCGTTGGAGATGATGAGAAATGCCTTAGGATAATTGGCATCCTTAATAGCTTCAGCATGGGAAAGCTTGACCGTTTTGATAATGCAAACAAAAATTAAAGAAAAGAATTTGATAATTGCTGAATTAAGAAGATAGAAATTGAGGAACAGTAATTGGATCGCTTTATTTCATATTTAAAATATCATATATGAACACTTTGTTTCCTACATTTTTGCTTAATGGTTCTAGTAACAAAATTTGATTCATCTATGATTTTGCTATCGTAACCCTTTATATATGTGCACAATTGTGTAGTTAAGGTAATGCATCTTAGTGTATATCTCAAAAAGTTATGCTTTATTCCTCCGAAGGTTTGAGATATCATTTTTAGCATGTTCACTATAGTACCGTTTTCACTTTGTATCTAAACCTTTCATAGTTGCGTTGATTCAATTTTCCTCAAACTAGCGAATATTATTTGTATCTTTACATGATGTTATAACACAATCCCAAGTATTGACATTCAACTGAAATAAAATTACATTGCCCCTATGTCTGATTACACCAAGTCCAGCTTCATCTGGTGCTCTAACCGCTGGCCATCCGTATTGAAGATATATGATTTTGGATTTGGAAGGAACAAATATAGAATTTTCATCCTTTTACGCTCGGACTTAAAACTCTTACTTGAAAGGGTTATTTCAATACCTACTGTTTTATCCTTGCTTTTGTTTTTAGCCAATAAACATGCAAATCATTAGAAATATGATTTTATTCATTGCAACTATCACTATAAAGAAATCGATTTCTACCTTTCCTGGTTTCTCATAATATGAATGCAGGAAAAATAATGATGATAGATTTGAAAGCAGACAAAAATTACTAAAAGCAAACAATGCATATGAATAAACACTTCAACCTTTTTCTAGCGGCATTGTATTCTGCATATTGTTCGACATACAAAAAAAAAAGAAAAAGATATGAGTTAATTAGTCTCTAAAAAAAATAAGCAGCTTAATGAATATCGGGCAAAACCAATTTTACTTAAATCGCTTGCAAAGGGAAACCAAAAAAAAAAAAATCTCTGAGAAAAAAAGAAATTTTTAAAGGCATCAATTTATCTCCTAAGGATAAATAAAAAGAGAAAGAGTTTTGAGTCTCATTACTATTTGATATGTTAAATATCTTGTAAAAGCTCTAGTTGATGTGGGTTTCATGATTAGCTCATCTTCCATTTCAGAAACAAAAAGACCTTCCAGTTCGAGAGTTATAATCTCCTGGGCTTAAATGACAGGTGATGAATGGAGAGTCCATTCCAGTTACTGCAAATTGGATCCCCGTGATCCCAAACTGATGAGTATCAAACTATGCATGTTTTTAGATATATAATTTGTCTCTTTGTACTTAGTTTTTAGGTCAATTAAGTTAGGATTTTATTCTTATAGGTTAATTTGGTGACTTTTGGCGATCTAGGGACTTAATTACAGAATCTGTAAAAAGGTGGTCAAAATGTGGCAATTTGGTGAAATTATGGGCGCAATTGAAAGTGGCTGATTGGACTAAAGTGCAAGGACAAAAGTGAGGCTGAATCCGGCGAGAAGAGGAGCTGATTGAAGGCCAAATTGAACCAAGACTTCAAGGCTAAGGACGAGGAGAAGGTGATGAAATGGTGCTGCTGATAAGGAAAGAGGTTGATGTGTCTAAAAACTGAATTAGAACAACTGAAAGATGATTAAAGATAAGGGGGAAATTTGTGAAAGTATGGATCTCCTCTCTTTTGCTTAAACTTATCGGGTAAAGAGGAGGCCAACTTGGCTAAGCAAAATTACTTCCCTCCCCCCCCCTCCCCCCAACCTCTATATAAACCAGCAGCAGCAGAAGAAGAAAAAAAGAAGAGTTAGAAGATTAGAAGTTAGCTTAGTTCAGTAGGTTAGAAACAGAGCATAAGTCTGGAAAGCAGACTCATGGGTGTCTCTTGGGGAAGTGAGAACCTTACTCTACGAAGTCAGCTGCACTTTACCACGCTCCCTGACTTTGTTCTTCCCCTGTTTTTTACCTATTCTGTTGTAATCATGAAGTCTCTCCACCTTGATTCTATGGTGTTTGAGCTTCCTACCAATTTGTAGCTAAACTCATTTCTAGGGTCCAATCCCCCTACTCTATAGAAGTATGTTTTTTGGTTCAAACGCTCGAATGATATTTGTATGCTTAGTCTTAGAGTTTTCATTATTCTTTTAGTTGAATTAGCCATGTAACTAATTGTGTTTGCATGTTAAGGGAGACTTGTGAGGGTAAACTTAACTTAGAACGCTTAAGATTAAACGGTGACAAGGGGGTAACAACCCAAGGTTTCAAACATTAGTTGTTTGCACGAGGTCATCATAAGGGTTTAAGAACTTAATGGTTTAATAGTATTGCGGAGTCAGCAACGTGAGTTACTGGGCTTGTTGCTACTAGGATTGTTGTTTGGAATATCGTGAGGGACCTTATAGTATTATTGTGCCTGCTTGAACACAATTTTATACCACATAGTGCGCAATTGAATCATTACATATGCATATAGAGTATAGAGGAGGACGACCCCAGACTTCCATCACTTCGTCAACTCATAAACTTGTTTTCCCAAGTCTAATTCTGTTTATACATTGCATAATTTACATTGGATACCAATTTTCATTTATTGTTTCCCGTCTTTGTGGGATCGACCCTTCTTATCACTTACTACAAGTTTTAAGTATGTTTTCTTTGATGATCTCGACACCCATCAACACTCTCTTAGACTTAATGGTTAAATACAGAGGTGCCATGGAAAAAAAATAATTAGATATGTCTCTAAGACTTAAAAGTCTTGTTGTAAAATGCCTAGGGTTAGATCAATACTCTGTCCTCGGCCTCTCTGTCATTAAAGTAAATAAGCTCGATTGGGGAGCAACGATACTAGGGAACTGGATGGTATATATGTCCACCCCTTGGGTCATTGTACCTTCTAGCACTAGCTGGTTCAAAACACACCTCTCGGATATATCCCTGGAGTGTTTTTTTTTGACAGTTGGAACCTGAACATCGCTCCAACATTTCTTTCTGCTAATTTTTTTTTTAAAGAATTGTACTAAGGATGGTAAATTTGAGGAAATCGAGAAAATTGAATATAAGAGGAGAAGAAGAAACTCATATAAATGTGATACTAGCTTTGTCCCAAAAAAAAGTCCACATTGAGTTTTTAGATTTGTACTCAATAGTACAAATTCCAAAACTGAAAGTGGACTATTTTTTTGAGACGGAGGGAGTATTATATGACCAACCATTATTAGATGAATGGAAAAATAAAAAAATCATAATAATAATAGTAAATTAGAGGAAATGGAAAAACTTGAACATAAGAGGAGAAGAAGAGACTTATATACATATATAGCATACCACCAAAAAATTGTGTAAAACTCACTAGTTATATATATGGTAGATTATTTGATCAATTATTTTTTTTTTTTTGGTATGATTTCGTATGATCCATATTAATTATTTTAGTCAAATAGAATTTACTCAATTATTAAAAGAAAACAGGGATACATTTTAAGATTATTCATTGCATTCCTTATTTCATACACATCTATCTATCTATGGTATTATACTAAGAGAGAAACCAGAGAGAGGTTTCAAAAAGAGTTTTTACGTTGCCACGTAAGCAAAAATCCTATGTGGCATTTTTATAAAAAATCTCACAAAAAAAGTTTATACAATAACAACACAAGTCCTTGGGAATTTATGGGAAAAAAAATAAGCACATACATATTTGTGGTAATGTACGGTTTTTTGAAAATCTAGAACAGTACAATAACTTATAACCAATCAATCAACATTAATTTTGATTGTTGTTTGTCCCAAAGTCAAGCGAAAATAATGGAATCGTAAATAAAAGACATTGATGTATTATTATTAAGCAGATCATTAATTATTGGGGTTTTCCGGTTATAATAGGAAACATTTAATTAACAAAATTACCGAAATAAGTCACGCGGAGTGGCAAAGATTTGCTATGATTGTTTTTTGACCCAAAGTCAAGAAAAAAAACAAGAAATTGATAATTATCATAATAACCGGATTAAACCACGGGGAATCTTCGTCATCCCCAAAATTTGCTATGATTGTTTTTGGACTCAAAGTCAACAAAAAAAAAGAATCTTAAATAAATTAACATTCATTTATCCTTTGTATTATTCGGTGATAATTGTGTGGGATTAGGGTTTATCAAATCTTCGAACTAATTACGGAAATAATTATCCATCGTAATAAAATACATATCATCAGAGATCGTGGTTCGCACAATATAAATATTTACATTACTCTATTACCTGATGCACTACGTCGCTGAACTTCATAGATAATATCATCTGCTCTTCCAAAAACTTCCTCCACCCATATAGGATCTAATGTCGACCTCCCGCACCAGCCACATTGTTGATCTCATCAAAGACTTGACACCAAATTCTTGTCAAATCTGATTGGAAGGTTAATGTACGAATACTACACATTTGGATAGCAGTTGTTGGGGCAAACACATCGATTAAAGCTTTGCTTATTGATGAACAGGTTAAATAATACAATTTAGTTTGTATCCAATCAGTTAAATTAATTGTTTTGTTAATTCAATTCAGATGAATATCACATATTTAGTGACCCTTTTATTTTTAACTCGCGTGTTGTTGTTGTTTTCTCCATTTTCAGGGTAAAAAAAATACAAGCTTCTGTCCACAAAAAACTCATGTGGAAGTTTCAAAAGCTTCTTGAAGATGGAGAGGGAGAGACTAAGCAAATCACCAACTTTGATATGGCTGAATACACAGGAAATTACAAGTCGAACAAGCATAAATATAAGATTGCTTTCATGCGCAACACTAGGGTGGAACCCTGTACAATCGACTCCATCCCGAAACATTCATTCGAATTTGTCCCTTTCGATTATGTTTTGACAATGAATCCTATCAACAATGATTATCTCATAGGTAAGTAATCATGAGATTTATTTTTATAAACACTAAATAATTTGTATATTCTTCTGACAAAAAGCTACTTATTGTTAAATGTAGATGTGATTGGTGAGATATTGAGAGGCATGAAAATCAAAGAAGAGGCGGGCAATAAAATTTTAGACATCGAATTAGAAGATTTGGAGTGAGCAAGAATATTTGTGTGGTGTTTATTACATTGTACTATTGATATTTTAATTTATACTTATGTTTTATTCATGCCATTTTCCAGAAAAAGGACACTCCAAGTGACTCTATGGAATGAGCAAGCGGTAACTGTAAGGGACTATATGGATAAGAATACTGGCTGTATTATTTTTGCTCTGAGATTTGGGATAATCAAAGAATTTAAAGATAATTCAACGTCAATAACTATAATTTACTTATTTATATGTATTATTTAATTTAAATTGAATAATCTTTTCAGGAAAGCGGTATGTAAAAAATGCCAAATTTGGAGGCAAAGTTTTTCTTGATCTTGACATTGATGAGTTCAACTCTTACCGACAGAGGTATAAATTGTCTTTAATTATTTTTTAACTTTTCCATATATTTTAACAAAAAATCAAAAAAAAAAAAAACATTAACCTAAATGGATGACTTACTATTAGGATGATTGAAGCTGATGGATTGGGCAACGATTCTAATCGGATTACTCAAATGTAGTCCCAAACAACAATCACTAGACATGATGCTTTTCTTAATGATATTCCTCGGATGACCCTTGCAGAAATTGCTGAAGTGGAGGAGGTTATTCAATCCTTTTACTTATAGATTATACAATTTTTTGTTATATTTGTAGGGCCTTCATTTTTCAGCAACACTAATATATGATCTTCCACCATGCAAGACTTAACCTGTGTTGTGCTTGCAACAATCACATGCATTAAACAAAATGGAGATTGGTCTTATTTTGGATGCAAAAAATGTCACAGAAAGGCGGAGAAGGCAAACCCTAAACAATCATCTGGAAAGCATGATATTGATTCAGAAAAAAAATCAACTGGTGACATGAGTAGTGCTAATGGGGTTTAAATCGGCTTCAGATGCAGTCCTTGCAATTTTGACCGCGCCGCGTATCCCCAATGTAAGTTAAATTTAATAATAGTTAATTAATAGTGTATATAAGTTTTACATTCTATGATTGTAAATAAATCATCTATAATTATATAGGATTAAGATAAATGTTCGGGTTATCGATTCAACCGGCTGTGCCACATTTATATTATGGGATAAGGATGTGAAGCACTCGAGTAATAGGACAACACTTGAATTGAGGAGAAAACAAGCTGATATGCAGAAAGAGGTGACATTATACGGTTACACTTGCTTTATATAGATCATTTGATTATTATTAACATTTTCGGTTCGAAAATGCAGAGTTTAAATGATGAAGATCTTTATGATTACCCTGCAGAAATCAATGCAATGCTTAATAAGCAGTGCCTGTTCAAACTTGACATATCGCCAAACTATAATCCAAACATGTCGGCTGATATAAAGGTTGCAAAGATGACTGATGACCCGGACATAATCACTGAGTTCATGTCCATTTACAAACAAGACATGGTAATGGTGTTGCATTTAGTCAATTACGTATCTATATCATTTATATCGTTATTTGAGTTACTCTTTGTACAAATTTTTCCTCCCGCCCACTAATCTATATGGAATGTTACATGTAATTAATTCAACTTGCAGGAAGGTGTATCTTATATGAAGACCACTCCGAATGGGAATACAACAAGAGTGACAGAAGAATCTAAGGTATTTAAATAATAATTATTGTATGTAAATTATAGCATTATTACTAATTCATCAAAAATGGTTTCCAAAAAAAAAAAAAAATTAACAAATTTTATTCATGTAATGTAGAATGTTGCATCGCAATCAGGAGATAATGACCATGTAAATGAAGATCTGGTCACTACTGCAAGTAGTCCTGTTGACAAGCAAAAGGTCAGAAATCAAGAATCTTCTCCCCGACACTGCAATCCGCAAATACCCGAAAAAGGAAGATAATTCTTGATGATGATGAGTAGCTGGAAAATGCACGAAGCCCCCCCGCATAATAAGCTTCTCTTTATTTCAAATAATATAAAAATTATTCCTGGACATCTCAATAGTGATTCTATTAATGTACTTTTCAATATTAAATATAAGTACCCCGTTTTTTAATAGTTTGCATTTTCCGCTAGATACACTACATACACTAAATTTTTTTAATTCATTCCAAGACAAACATGACCTTTGATTGAAATTGTTAAAGCGCGAATACACTCTATCATTTAACGCAAAAATATCATAGCTAATTACTACTTAATAAATATAAACTACGGTTCCAGGACACTATTGAGAAAATGTATACACATACAGTAACAGATAAATGAAAAAAATCCGAGCTTATGGAGTTTATGTAGCTTTAAGCAATATACATGAGATTGAGTTACATGTGGATAAACTAAAAATATCAAGTTTACATCAACAACGTCAATTCATTTTATGCTATGATTCAGATTAATGCGTTGAGACTACTTACTAATTCATTTTGAATTTCCTGCAAATTCATTTGTTTTTCAAATTTCCTTTGACAATAAACCTATACACTAAAGTGTCTAAGGCTTCTATTAAAGGAAAACGGACTATGTTTAGACGTCAGATTAAATGAGGCGAGAGATCTCCAAAGATCAGAAACAATTAAAGAAAATATAGAAATTCAATATGACTAAAATCACGTAAGATATTTTGTTCTACAACTGTGATACGTTAGTAATTGGTAATTATGCAAAATTTCTTTCTCCTCTTTCCCGCTAAGGAACGAAAGATGGAAAATAGTTTTCATTTAATTTTTAATTATTTACATATAGAGAAAGAACCAATGCCGTAATCAACGTCAATTAATCTTCCGATTCGTATACTATAATTTCTATATCAAAAATCCTTATTGACTAGGTTTAAACCCAATCTTGAAAATTACTATTCCAATAATATTTTATAATAAATAAATCTAATTGGGTCTCACCGAAAACGACATCAACAACATGATTTGCTCATAATAAAAAAGTAATCAATGTCGTCATCAACGTCTATTTATTTTCCTTTTAAGTTACTATATTTCTATATAAAAAAAACCCTTATTGACTACGTCTAAACCCAATCACACAAATTACCATTCCATTCCATATTATACTAATTAATTCTAATTGGTCTCACCGAAAAGACAACAACGACATAATATGTTCATACTAAAAATTAATCAATGTCGTCATCAACGTCAATTCTTTTCCATTTTAGTTTACTATTATGAGAAAATCAAAACCCCTAATTGACTACGTACAAAACCAATCTTGAAAATTACCATTCAATTCCATATCATAATAAATAATATTAATTGGGACTCACCGCAAAGACATCAACTACATGATCTCCTAATAATAAAAAGTAATAAATGCAACTTATATTATAATATTCTTTTTAAAACTAAATAATTTTATATATGTCTACGTCATTTTCAATGAACCCCGTTTAAACAACAAACATGTCCAAGTACATTTTTCCACATGCTCTATATTATCATATGAACTCAGTTAGTAACTGATCGTAATTGATTGAGTTTTAGGGTTAATTGATTAAATATTTACATGTAGTTGAATGAAAATATTTCATGAATGTTCATATACTTACGAAATCAACATTTTTTTCCCTATATTTAAAATATTGCATGACCTTATTTAATATAAACCTCGCTTAACGATCCCCATAACATGGTATAACCTAACTATCAATTACTCTAGCCAGTAACAATCTTTCAAAACCACACGATGACCTCTCCCATATCCTTTAGAATTCGTGCAGACAACTCACTCACAACAAACAATTCTGACCAAAAACAGTCCTGAACAATTAATATTATTGCGGATTACCAATCCTGATATATTGCACCACAAAATAATTGATAAATCATATTTGGGTCAATAAATTTCTAAGACATTTTGTACGATTACATAAGTGCAATTATATAAACCAAGCACATGAACAAATAAAACAAAGTCGTAAGTTTATCACAAAATTGGAAAAGCTTTGCAATAAATTTGTAGGATGCTATTCAAATAAATAAATGAATTAATTATTATCCATTTAACTTAATTAATAGAGATTGCAAGTGACATAAGTTATTGTATGTTGCGTATTAATTCGTAATACTATATTCCAAGTATAGCGCATTTGATCCACTATAAAAATTACCAAAAAATTCTTTACAATGAAATCACCGTAATTGGTATTTACTTCGTATAATTACCTACAATGTAATTTGAATCAAGTCCACAACTTACCATATGTATTTCACACTTTAAACATTAATATGCATCAATCAGTCTATAATAAAGGAGAATCCGCATGTAATTGATATCCTTATAAATAGAAAATGTATACTAATTAATTACATACAAATATGAATCATGCCATTTTAAAAAACAAACTCTTAAACCCTTGAGCAGGAAGTTAAAAAACTTCTTCCCACATCTGCCTTAATAACATATTTCATTCTTGCTTTGATAGTACATTCGGCCAGTTAAGCATATCCACTTTAACAAAAACATCATCTTACATACGAGATCACCCAAAAAAAGCATGATTCCCGACGTTCTTTCCACTAAGATATGCCATCTTGATGAAAAACATATTGATGATCTGCCCGAAGATTTGTTGTCCAAATTTTTCCAAAAGCTTGATGTATCTATGGTCCCAATTTATCATAGTGTGCAAACTTTGTGGAATATAAAGTTTCAAGATCCCAAATTTTTGGAAATTTTGCAGAGGTGTCATAGGGAGATGTCGCGCGAAAATGTTTTGATGGTATGCCAATCACCTGAACCCACAACGCTGTCGATCACCTCTGACCTTATTTGCGTAAAGTTTCTCACTTATTTATCCATCATGAATCCCACTTCGGGTGAAAATGTTGAAGTTAAATTAGATTCTGCACCTATATGGCATGCAAATTGGGAAGCTGTTTTCGGTTTGAGCTATGAGTTAGGGGAATATGTTATAATCGTGTTGGAACTCAAATCTGATCTTAATATGCATGGTAAGATAACCTGGTGGGATATGAAGAAAAAACTGTATGATATGATTGTTGTTCGGAAAGATATTCAGCAACTTTGCCCTAGGGTTGTGGATCAGGGGATTTTGGTTGGTAAGAATATATTTTGGCCCATCGATAAAATGATACAATCACAAGTTTCTGGATATAAAAGTGAAGGAGTTATAGTGTCCTATTCTATTGAATGTGAAAAGTTTTATGTTATCCCTGGTCCAACCAGAGCAAAATGGGACAGTGATCCAAATTCATCTCATAGGATGATAAATATAATAGACTTGCAAGGTAAATTATGTATAAGTAACCCACATTATTTTCAGAGTACAAGACATCTTCAATTGTGGGCTCTAGAAATTCAATCACCTGGTCATTTTTATTGGGATAATGTTCATGATCATGTACTGGAATTTCAAGTTGCAAGGCCTCTTCAGCCATTTCCTGTGCCGGATGAACATAAGACAAATTTTATTGAGCGTAAGATCAAGTGATGACGGAAGACTGACGATTAGTGGGCCAGATCGAGATCAACTATACATATACAATACAATGAAGAAGATCCACAGTCTACGTGACAAGCCTTGCACAGTATGAATTATCAGTTGGTTTTTATTGGTCACACTTTACTCCGTTATGAAGTGGATAATGTTTTTTTTCCCAATAAGAAGTGAAAAAAAAAGAATGTTGATGTCGGGCAACCATGATGATAAGGAAGAAAGAAAACGCACAAGCTTTAAGTTTGATTTTTAATTTAAAATAATATAGAGATTGTTTTGGACGTTTAAGTGTCCAGATGTAATTTGCCTCCCACACTTTCCATTGGTTGTTTTTTTAATTTACTATAGATGGTGATCAGCATTTACATTTTACATTTTTTATGTCACTCAGTAATCCTAAATCAATAAAACTGATGTCCCTTTCTAAGTATATGTATTTTTTAAATTATTTTACAATATTATGAACAAAAATGATTTGCTAAACACAATTTTCATATTCGTTGTGTCTGAAAGTATCTACTTTGAAAAAGCCATTATATTATTGGCCATGTAAAAAATTTTATTAACTTAATGATGATTGTCGCGTTAAGCAAATCATAAAAGTAAAAAATAAACAATTTCATAATTTCAACCCATGCATATTTTCATGAAAAAAATTCATACTGAAAATTATAATAAATAAATTTAAATTCACAACTTGTTTAATCAATCAATTTTATTTTATTTTTTGAAAATGACATTACGACAATTATTATGCCATTTCCATTGAACCGCTAAAGATTGCTGAAAAGAGATCGCATCTTTCATGCTTACCTAATAACATAACAATATTATTCAATTCATTTCGGAATTAGAAATAAACAATCAATTTAAATACATTGATTTATGACGTTTAATTATCACAATATTGACCTTTTTTCAATCTTTGCATCAAAAGATTGTACTCCTATTGCCAATCATTGTGGTAAGTACTGATATCATATCATATATATACGGTACAAATTTTAAAAATGTGTGTTTTCTTATATTTATGACATACAATTATGATCATATGATCATGCATGTGAATAATCATTGATCGGACATTTAATATAATTTCCATATAAACTAATAAATGTTAAAATACTTAACATACCTAACTCATTGATTTTTTACAAGGTCATTATAGATGCCCAAAAATATTTACGTAAGACCATTCCTTCACCCCATATATTCTCTATCACTTGCAATATTTATAGACTCCAGAGTTATTATACTGAATAACATCCAACTTTATTACGCCTGTTCGGCTTTGTAATTACAAAAGGTTTTCGCCTTCTTCATCCATCAACGAAGTTTATGTACCCCAGCAACAATGAAATGGACTTTGAGATTTTGCTTCCTATACCTTCAACTGTATTCGAAGATGGACTACTACATGAGTTCATATTCAATTGTAATTGTAAACCACCTCCGATGATGTTCATGTATTGCCATGATTTAGTAATTGGTAAATTATGATTCTAACTTTTATGATCTACACGCAGGTGATTGCCAATTGTTTGTCCAAGAAATTTACAATAAATCCGAAACCCTATATGCATTTGCTCACGGATTTTACCGATTTCAATGTTAAAATTAATTACACTCGCAAAGGAAAGATTCATTTAAAATGTGACAAATTTTCACAAATTTCTTGATCATGCATGTTAGATTCGAGCCTGGATGGTTGATCCAATTCGTTGTTGTTGCCAACTACGTTGTGAGGGCCATCATCTTTGATGACAAAGGTTGTCATGTGACTAGATCAATTGAAGATATTTTCCCACATCTTGATTTACGTTTTTGCCATGAAATAAAGGAAGATTCATACGACAGTGCGGTAAGTTTAATTTATGTAATTGGGTAAAATTTACTATATTTATCTATTTCAAAACAAGTGCCATTTGTTATTATGCCAAACCAATGTCTGACATATTTTTCTATTCAGATGGTTTACCCATCGATAATTCCTATCTTTCATATAACAGATCCATATATTGCAATTCGGTTTTTATCCAAAGAGTATACTTGGAGATTTGAAATTGTTAAAAAACATGGTGCAATTATTGGTTTCTCTGGCGTCGACTGGAAAGATTTTTATAAGACAGTTCATTTGGAAATTGGGAACCATTTGGTATTTGTATTTCAAGTTGGCAACAAATTTGGACTTAGTGTCTTCGGTGCTGAGGGTATTATGAGTTTTCAGCTTACGACATTGTCGAATCTGATGAATCCGATGGTAATCATATACGTTTATCTCAAAAAACTTTCACATTTATTTCCACTTGATAATATTATGTTAATACTTGATTTTAATTTGTTATGTTTTATTCTATGTAGATGACTACATCGAACCATTGGATCAGTTCCCAATAGTTTCGAAAAAATTCATTCGCTTATTGTATTGACAAAAATGTCATCACAACACGTAAATTGGTTAGTTAGTATTCATATCCTTCAAATTAATTTATGTACTTTTTAAATTTTGATGTAGTCATTTAAAAGTAATATTTACTAAAGGTTTTTAAATTATATCTACCATTACTGCAGCAAATTCCAGTGTATTTGATCGTCAAGCATAGACTCATGGAATATGAAGATGTCATAATCTTGTACAAAGGAAAAATAACACACATGTCTATGCAACATGGTTGTGAAAAAATTGGGTTTGGTGATGTATTGGTGAAACCCATACATATTACCGGAGATTGGCAAGGTTTCCTAGAAAAATATAATCTTCAAGTTGGCCACATGTTGATGTTCAACGTATACCTTAAAAATTCTGAGACTGATGGAACTTTAGTTTTGATGCCTGATCCTATTTCTACGGTGGATATGTTAGATTAATTGATTGTAGAAATATCTTTCATGAGTTTTTTTTTTATTAAATATGCAAGAATAAACTATATGAAACGGCCAAAAAATTGATCAATTTCCCCGTCCATTGTTCGTCTATTGTTATTGATTACAATTGTCCCTAATTTAAATTCGTTCATTGTTTCGACAAAATTGCAACTTTATATGCATCACACAGATCATGAACTAATCATGCAAACCTTTCACAACATTGAAACATGAAAATATATATTTTAAATAAAAGGTTATTAATGAATTGCATAAGATAAGTATACACATTGCGAACGTACATAATCGCAACTATGTAAACCAAACAAATGTCAAAAAAAAAAAAAATTCGTAAGTTTTCACATACTTTTTTTTAAAAAACCTTTACATAAATTAATTATATAATTATTTCTCATGAAACTAAACAACACTTTATAGCAAGTGACATATATCAGTTTATTTTCAGAATAATTTGTCATAACATATTACAATTACACCACGGTTTGCACATAAGAATAATTACCATAAGAATGAATAAAAATGAAATCAGTTAGATTGGTCTTTAGTTCATCAATGATCGTATATTTACCTCCTATGTAGTTGGAGTCATGTGTGAATATTACCATACGTGTTTAACAAGATATAATCGGAATGAATAAATATGAAATCATTGTTGTGGTACTGGGTGATATTTTGAGGCTTTCGTAAGGTAAAAAATAAAATGATTAATTGAATTTGATTTTCAAAACATAATAAGATAACCGCCAAAAAAGACAATTCAACTACTATATATCCATAATACAAAATCAACACATGTATACGTCATCCATATTTTACAATTTTAACCACATCCCATTGCAATGAACTCTTCATGTAGCCAAAGCAAAAGAAAAAATTTGCTAGACGCACAGAGAAATGTTATTTGCCCACGACCATGTAAGCAAGAATCTGCTGAAACAAGGTTTAAAAGGAGGCTCATAATGTCATCCGAAAGGCAAAAAATTGTAAGTAATGATAATCAAAATGGTCCACAATCTTCAAGTTCCAGGAAGCATCCAAATATCATTAACCGAGGCAGTTCTTCTCATAGCATAGATTCCTCAAATCCTGGAACTCTCTGATGTGCTTCAATCACCCAACAATTGACACATATATCTCCACTGGGTGATATAAAAAATAGTACGCTTGCATCCGATTCTATATTTTCTCATTTGTTAAACATGTATAATGTTTTATTCTTCTGCTTTAACAGTGACAACAGGCAGGGTTTCTTACAACACTTCAAAAACACCATCAGGCAAGCGGAAAGAACCAATGTTTCCAAAACAAACACATCAAGTTGCAACACTTACTGACGGGACAACCTCAACTTTGAACCTGTTACAGAGCATGCATTCAAAGTCACTTACACGTAAACAAAAAGCTGTCGAAGCAAAAGTGAATAGGATGCTGATAATGTCATCAAAAAGGCAAAATCGAAAAACTGTTGGGAAAGATACAACTTCGATGATATTACATAGCATGACTTCACAGTCACATACCGGTAAGAAGACCTGAACAAAAAAACACATAGACAGGTTCAGCAAACTCGAATCATCACCAGGTATTCACATATTTTTTTGTCACTGTATACTTTACATACAATTAACTCAATTGTTGAATATATAATTGCTTCTATACTATTAAACGCAGATTACTATGACGTTGGTGATCCAAACTACATATGTGAATTTTGTGGTGCTAACATGTTGTATGGAGAAAGATATAAGGGTGACAGATAATCAATTAATCCAGAGTTTTCTATATGTTGTATGAAAGGGAAAGTTCAGCTGCCTACACTGAAAGAACCACCTACATTTCTCAAAAATTTGATCCTTGGTAAACACCGTCAATCAAAAAATTTCCTAGAAAATATTCGAGCCTACAACATGATGTTCTCCTTCACTAGCATAGGGGGTAAGATTGATAATACTGTAAACAATGGTCGCGGTCCTTATTGTTACAGATTGCATGGTCAGAACTACCATAGAATTGGAAATCTTATTCCAAATACCGGAACAAAACCGAAGTTCTCACAGCTGTACATTTATGACACTAGGAATGAAATAAATAACAGGATGTCTGCTTACAGGTAAGAAAAGAAATTTAATATGTTCTTTTTTTATTGATTTAAAGACAATTGCATAATATTCAGAATGTCCAATATTATTAAACAAAGTGGGAATGTGACAACATTTGAACGAATATTTTCCCGTGTAATTTTCAGTTTAAAATCGAAAAGGTCCAAATCTAGAACTTTGCATGAAAAAATGGTAAAGGGATTAACAAAGGTTATAGATGACCACAACCAATTGGCAAAGGTATTTAGGCATGCAAGAGATACAATCGATTCAAACAGTGAACAACAAGTTAGATTGGTCATCATTGGAACTAGAAAAAAGAATGGAAGACTGTACAACATGCCTGAACCTTCTGAAATATCAGCATTGATCATTGGTGATGGCAACGTGGAGTCTGATTTTAGAGACATCGTCGTCCAACACAAATCAGGGGAACTGAAACGTATCAATGAGCTTAATCCATCTTACATTCCAATGCAGTATCCACTCTTATTTCCACATGGAGAAGATGGATACTACCTCGGCATTGTGTTAAAGGACAAGCCGTTAACTTTTATAGATACTGACAGTAATAAGAGAATACGTTTGAGTATAAGGGAGTGGTTTGCTTACAAACTGCAAGAAAGAGACAAAGAATTTTCAATGATCCTGCTCGCAAGGCAGTTACTGCAACAATTTGTAGTTGATGGGTATAGCATCGTTGAATCAGAGCGGCTACATTATATAAGAAACAAGCATAATGTTTTGAGAAGTGAATCCTACCAGAATATACTGAATGCATCTGAAGGAGGCATAACTGATGCATCTACCTTAGGCAAAAACGCTATATTTTACCATCATCATTTACTGGTGGCAGGAGATACATGATGCAGAATTACCAGGACGCTATGGCACTATGCAAAGCTTACGGATATCCAGACTTATTCATAACTTTCACTTGCAATTCAAAATGGCCTGAAGTGACAAGATATTGCACAAAGAGAGGCTTGAAACCTGAGGATAGATTGGACATAGTTTGCAGGATTTTTGCAATGAAATTGGATATGTTCATCAAAGATCTTAAAGATGAAGAATTGTTTGGCAGAGTTCAAGGAAGTAAGTAATCAAACCTTAAATATTTATTATGAAGTTACCGAAATCACAATTATACTTTTATGCTGACCATGTATATATATGATCCAAAACTCACAGTAATTGTTTTTCTTTACATGCAGTTGTTTACACTGTTGAATACCAAAAAAGGGGCTTACCTCATGCACATGTATGTCTTTTCTTGCATCTTGATGATAAGATCAAGACAGGTGAGGATATTGACAAATTTATATCTACTGAGATTCCTAACCCTGATGAAGACCCCGACCTTTACCAGTTGGTGAATGAGTTTATGATTCACGGACCTTGCAGTGATGCAAATAAGAATAGCCCTCGCATGGTGGATAACAAATGTTCTAAGCACTTCCCTAAAAGCTTTATTAAGAGAACAATGGTTGATGGAGATGGATATGCAAAGTACAGAAGAAGAGAAAATGGACACACAATTGATAAAAACAAAATTTCCATAGACAACAGGTTATAATTATAAATGCATTTTAAATTTACTTTGTTTTATTGATGTGAACTTAAATGTCAAAAAAATATACAATGTGTGTTGTTTAAATCATTGCAGATGGGTTGTTGGTTACAACAAGTACCTGCTGAAGAAATGGCGTCACATCAATGTCGAATGGTGTAATCAGTCCCGATCAATCAAATACCTCTTCAAATACATCAACAAGGGGCCAGACAGAATCATCTTCGGAGTTTGCAAATTTGGGGAAGAGCAGGAGTTTCTAAATAAACCCCTTGGTGAGATCCAAGATTATTATAGTTGCAGGTACCTATCTGCTTGCAAGGCTGTGTGGAGAATTTTTCAATTTGATATACACTACAGGTATCCTTTCGTTGAAAGAAAGATTGCTTTCCATCTTCCTGAAAATTAGAGTGTCTTATATGATGAGGATGAGTCCCTTGAAGACATCATATCGAAGCCTTCAAGTAACTACACAAAGTTTTTATCATGGTTGAATTGTAATATTGTGTATGAAGAGGCCATGCAACTTACATATGTTGAGTTTTCATCAAAATTTATTTGGCATGCAGACGTGAAAGAATGGCAGCCAAGGAAAAAAGGAAGATCGATTGGCAGAATACACCATGTCCCTATAAATTTAGGTGAACTTTACTACCTGCGTATGTTGTTGAATCATGTCAGAGGGCCACGGTGTTATGAGGATATTAGAACTGTAGATGGTACACTCCATGATACATTCAAAAATGCCTCTGATGCAATGGGACTACTTGATGATGATAGCGAATTCATAGATGGAATAATGGAAGCTAGCATATGGGGATTTCCAAGCTATTTGAGAAATATGTTTGCTAGGCTCCTAATGACTGAGAGGCTAACTAAACCTGAAGCTGTTTGGGAAGCAACATGGAAACAGCTATATGAAGATATTGAAGACATGCAGCGGAGAATTTAACATGAAACAGGTACATATTAATATACATCTCATATACTAATTTCACAAATAATACGTTGCCTTTTAAATTTGTTTTTCTTCCTGCTACCACAAATTTATAACTTTAATTTATGCACTACTATTATTGTTAGACTCCTGGAGGCTCCCAGACGAAGCAAAGAAGACGTATACTTTGGTAGAGATTGATCGTATCATGCGCCGAAATGGTAGTAGTCTTAAAAATTTTGAAACCATACCATATCCAGAAGAACATATAGAAGAAGAAGACTACAACAAGTTAATACATGATGAGCTTCTATATGATGTACCCCAGTTGACTTTAGAACATAATGAGCTCTACAATAAATTAACAAATGAGCAG